CGTACATCCAGACCATAGACAAAAACAAGAAACAGCCATCCTCTCCCGTCTGTCTACATATGGGTGCGTGGGGCCTCCTCTCGTGTGGTGGCCGTGGGTGGTGGGTGGTGAGTGGGGTGCTCCTCGTCGCACACGCTGCCCTCGTCGGGGCCGGAGAGGGCACAGACGGGGCTGCACGGGCGACATGTCACTCGGGGGTGTTGGTGGGGGCCGGTGCAAGCCCAGGCATGCCCGCTGCATAGGCTGCTGGTGGTGCGGGTGGTGCGAATGCGGGTGCAGGCGCTGCCTGTGGTGCTGGCGGGGTCGGTGAAGGGAAGAGCATGGCCGGCGGCCCTTAGCCCCCTCGGCGGAGCGACGAAGCCCTCGGCAGCGGGGCGCTCGCCTCCGATGACTGTTGCTGGGGTGCGGGTGGTAGTTGGATGACGCTGGCCTTCCTGGGCACCTCACGCGGCGACACCGGGGGGCAGCTCGACCGGCCTGACACACACGAGAGAGAAACAGCGGTAGAGAGACGGTTCATGGGATGGCGGTCTGGATGAGTGTGCGTGTCTGTGTCTGACTTACTCAAAGCCTTCGATTTCTTGCTGTGGGTCCAGTGTGGGATGGGTAGTTGTTGGGGAGCTCCTCTCGGGGGTGCTCCACCTGCACCTGAGGATGGCAGGGCCGGCGCGGCAGCTCCCTCAGCCACCTCCTTGCCCTCCTGGATGATGATCTGTTCCTGCTGCTGCGCCGCCTTCTTCTGCTGCTTGTGTGCGAGTGGGGGGAGGAACTCCTGGTCTGCGGCCTGCACAGCGCGGTACTTGTCGCGGTGCTTGAGGAGGGAGTAGAGGGCGACCTTGAGGGAGGCGATGGTGTCGGAGCGGGGCCGTATCTTGTGCAGGATCTTGGGGCTGCGGTGGCCCCGCATCAACACGTCGGTACTGCAGGTCCTCGTGCCACACCACACCCAGCTGGTTCTCGCGAGAGGGATGGGGGGAGGAGGTGACGGTGACGTCGAACCGACGCCGGAGGGACCCATCGTCGTCCTCCTCGCGGAGGGCCACACGCCCCTTGGCCTCGCGCAGGATGACACGGGCGCACTTGCTCAGCAACGGCGGGTCCAACATGCGCACCGCCCCTCCTCTGATCGACACGAAAGACACGGGAGTGAGAAGCTTGTTTGTGTGCGGTGTTCGTTTCCCCATCGCTGTGTGGTGTGCGTACCGTCATGGCTCTCGTCGGCGCTTTCGTCGCCCTCGTTGGCGACGTCCTTCTTGCTACCCTGCCCCACACACACGCTGCATACACAGACACAGACCGGCACCCATCAGATCAGATCGTCATTGTCCCGTCTCGCCCTCCCTCCCTCCCTCCCTCCCACGTGTGCCTTACGTGTCCGTCTGATTGAATTCTCGTTATCGCTATCCCTGGTCTCGATGCGCATTCCCCCCTGCACCTCCTTGCTGCCCGCGCCGCTTTGGCCCTTCCACGCATCGCTCCGGCACGCCCCCAACGCCAGAGGCTCAGAGGGATGGTACTCGGCCGGCAGAGAGGCAGATGGGGGCTTGGCGGCCTCGAACCAAGACGAAGACGCCGCCGCTGCGGCAGCGGACTGCTCACATGAGCCTGAGGAAGGAAATGACACAAGAAGGAAATGACACAAAAACGGGATGCCAATACATTCACTTATCATGTGTGTCTCCTTGTTGCCTCTCTCACCGGCAGCAGCAGCAGCAGGAGCGTCTTTGTCCTCCTTGCGCGGCTTGTCCCCTCCCCGTTCCTTGGCGCTGCCAGCACTCCTGGCCTTCTTGGACGCAAGGCCGTCCGAACCGCTGCACGACGGGACCCCGCCCTCCCCACTTGGCTCGCCGTCCTCAGCCTTGGTCTGGGGGGTGCGGTGGGAGGCGACTGTGAGGGTGAGTGCTCGTGTGGTCGTTTGGCGGCCTTTTTCTTGCCCTAGGGGATGAAGCGCTGCGATGGGTCGTCGGCGTCGGAGTCGGGGCTCCATTCCATGGGGGAATGGGATGATGAGCCAGCTGCTGTCGTCGCCCTTGGAGAAGAACCAGTGGTCGGTCTTCTCACAGTACGACCACCTGCAGCACCCACACAACACACCATGAGACGAGAGCCAGCATTCATCCATGTGTGTGTCGGCTGTGCATATCCCATCCTGTGTCTGCTGCCCACCTAAGCTGCTCTCCCTCCTTGATGGTTTTGACGGGCGTGATGGCAACTACAGGTGTCTGGGCACCCACACACTCGCGCACTTGACCCTGGGCCCCCACTCGGGTGCACTGGCGTCGATGGTGCCGTGGTTGATGGACACCGCTGGCAGCCAGACGTGAGCAGATGCTGTCGCCGAACAGCACCGGGTTGGCCCCCGCCCTCGCCCCGGCGGCTTGTCCCGCCTGTCCTGCTCCTCCTGGCCGAATGTGGGCTTGTGTGACGGCTTGCTGGAGCCGTCGCGGTGTTCAGACCCGTTCGACACGAGGCTCAGGTGTCCCAGCCAGTCGAGGTTGGCGATCTCGGCGCTGCATGGGATGGACATGCTGAAGCACTTGTCCCGCTCGGCCTTGAGGTCGACATAGGGCAGCAGGAGGCATCCTGCTGCGGACCTCCTCGGTGTACTGGGCCGAGCTGCTGTTGGGGACTGACGGGCCAGTCCAGGAGGTCCCGCCGCGCGACGATCTTCTTCTTCTCCTTGCTTGGACGGTGTGTGGGGGGTAGGGCCGGGTGCCCGGCTCCAGCTGCCAGATGTGGCCTTGCATGCGCTGGTAGTTCCAGTTGGAAGATGATCTGCTCGTCGGTCTCGAGACGCGCGGCGCGGTAGGACGTCCAGCAGGAAGGAGAGGGACAGGTAGGCCGGCGCAGTAAAATGGTCGACTTGAAGAGGTCATGGTCCTCATCCAAACCTACGCAAGAGCCACACACCGAAGGGAAAGGTGCATGTGATGTGTAAGCTGAGGTCTCTCTCCCTGTGCGTGTGTGTGTGTGTGTGGTTGCTTTGCTTACCGACGGGTATCATTTCATCGTCGACCTCTACGTTGACCTGGTTCTCCCCTCCCGCCTCTTCCTCAGCTGGACACACACGCGGCCCCGGATATGCTGGCACAAATGCCGCCCTCCCACCCATCCCACCCTCAGATACACACAACCCCGCCCCACAACGCAGTCCACGAAGCAGGCATGGCACTATCACGACACAAATGGAGGAAATCATGGCCGTAAATCACACTAAACGCACCCATTCTCGCAGCCATCCAGCACCGTAGTGGGACAAGTACATGTAATCAAATGCATGTAGCAAGACCAGGAAACGCAACGAGGTGTGTGCGCTGACGCCACCCTGCTGAGGAGAGAAAGGACGCTAGAAGGAAGACGCTCACAAAAAATACGTCGTGTGTCGGTCTGTCTGTCTGTGTGGGAGGCCTGGGGGGAAAAGAGCGATTTGCCTCCAATTCCCGCCTGCCCGCCTCCGTCCCTGGCCCGGTCGGCCTACAGCACATCCATGCATCCATCCATCCATCCACCCGACCAAACATCGACAACACTGCAGGCAGCCGGCAAGCCTGCAACTAGCTCAACCATTGAAGCACCTCTGACCCACCCTGTCTGTCGGTGTTTGTACGTCCGTGCCATTTATGCTCTCACGAAGAGGCCGGCACGGACGTACGCGTGAATGTGAAGTGCGTGTGCGTGTGCGTATGTGTGTGTGTGGATTGGGGGTCGTCGGTGCAGTGCATCTATCTCCCTCCTCCTCTCTCAAGAAACCCAGCTACGCATCCATATCCATTCACACCAACATGCACCCACCCCCCCCGCCGCCCCTCACTGGCGGCCAAGGAAGAAGTCCCCCCATCCCTCCCACCACTCCCCCCACGACCGTTGCTGCTGCTGCCGGCGCCTCATCGCCGCCTCCCGGGCCTCCCATGGCGGGAGGACCCATTTCGGGGGTCCTGGGTGCGGCAGTAGCAGTGGAGGTGGCGGTGCGTGGTGCCCGGCAATCATGGCTTGGAGCATGTGAGGTGGTAGTGGTGGTGGTGTGGGGTGGTGGGGGAACGGCATCGTCATGGGCGGGACATGTGCGGGATGGTGGAAGATATACACAGGCGGCGCAGCAGAGGCCACAGGCGCCGCTGCGGGGGCAGCGTATGCTGCAGGTGCCTGGGACGCACCACGAGAAACCACACACAGGTCAAGAACTCGTTGTATGTATCGTTCTCTTTCATGTTCTCACCTGCGGTGTGTGACGTGGGTGTCGCTGGCCGTCTCCTCCGCCTGCCCTCCCATCGCCCTCTCCGTGCACCACGGACCCACTGCCTGGCTGGGACTCTGGATAGTGGATGCGTGGGTGGTGTATTGAGTCATCCTTCTTCTCGACCTCGGCCGTCCGCCCGCTGTCCACCGCCTGGGCGGGCCTCCCGCTGTCCACCGCCGGGGCGGGCAGCTGGAAAGCGAAGGCTGTCGGCAGGGCAGGGACGGCGGGGGGCTCTCCTGTGGGTGAGATGGTGCGATGGATGGACTCGCTGCCATGGAGGTGACGGGAGGTGGGCGTCGGGGCGGCACTCTGGAGGGGCGATGGCGTCTTGACTGGTAGCACCCCCATGTCGTGTCTGAAGAAGCAAAATAGAAACAGACGTCACAGTGTATGTCCACTCACACACAGGGGTGCATCAATTACCTGTCCGGCAGTGCTCGGATGGCCTCCCATGCCTCCTCGGTCATCATGATCTGCCGCCCCGCCAAGAGCCTGACCAGCCGCCCCACCGTCATCGCATCGTCCCACCTCCAGAACGCCGCCCTCATACGCTCCACCGCCCTCTGCCGCGCAAATGCGGCGACACGGGCCGCAAACCGCCATGACCGGAGGAGGCTCCGCAGGCGGACGACGCCCAGGCCGGCCGCAGCAGCCTCTGGCTCGGCTTCGCCCTCCTCACCCACGTCAGACAGAGACGGCCCGCCAGCCATATGGTGGCTGGTCGGCGACACATCGTCGTCGCTGATGGGCTCATACGAGTAATGTGTCTGCAGCTCGATGTGAGGCGTCGGGTTGGCATGGGGGAGGGCTGCGGGTGACGGGGAGTCGGCATCCCGACTGCGGGGCAAGTATGAGTGCGGTGTCTGCAGCTGGTGGTACTTGCGCTCGTCCGCACAATGGCCCTCCTCAGCAACCTTCACACAACACACATAACACATCCACACATGTACCCACTCGCCTACCCACTCTCCCACATACGTACCTCATTCTCGTGGTCGATACGATAATGGGGTTCCTCTCCCTCCCCCTCACGTCTGCTGGCGCCGCCCCCATCGTGCTGGTCCTGCTGCGCATCTGCAGGGGCAGCATCGAAGTCGTCGGCCTCCATGGGAGGCTCCTCCTCCTCTGCCTCTCCTCCCGCAGCTGGGAGCGCACAGGCCTCCGCCTGCCGATGGTGGCGCCACAACTCCCTGGCGGCCTCCATGAGGTCGTGACGGGCCTGCCGGACGTGGTGCGACTCCCCATCGGCCGTGATGACCTGGACGAGAGAGTCGCAGCCGTCGATGAGGTGCAGCTCCGGCTCTTGAGCAGCGTCAGCGACGGGAAGCCACTGACACCACTCGGCCATCGCCAACACCTCCTCTTCGAAGTACCCGCCCAGCAGTCCCGTCTCGATGACGATGGACGCGTCAAAGACGCCCTGCCCGCCGCCCTGCAGAACGTCGTGGATGTCACCCCCACCCACGACCCTCCTCGCCCGCCAGATGCCGACGAGGGGGTGGTTGACATCCACGCGCCCCTCGAGCAGGTAGCTGATGACTCGGTCGGCGCTGACGCGGAACTTGCCAATCATGCGGCGCTCAGCGTACATGACCTGAATGACGTCCGTTACACCCACACATATCCCAGCTGTGTGTGTGCAGGGGGGGATGAATGGTGCGTACCGGCTCCTTCGTCCTCTCGTTCTCTGCGTCCTGCATATCCTCCTGGGCGTTTGACAGCGCCTTGAACTTAAGGCTAAGGCCTCTGATGAGATATCACGATATCACACAGGCGCACCAGCAGTAGTCGCAAAGTCCGCATGGCATTGCGTGCGGTGCCTTGCCCAGCTTACGTATCGCCGCCGGTTTATCTTGGTGCAGAACCAACGCACACGGTGGTGCTGTTCTTTCCTCGCCCTCCCACTCCTTTTCGCCGATCTTCGGCTCTAACCCATTTCCGCTGTGTGTAACGTTTGCCGATCTGTGATTTTGCCCACGGGCGGGTCCGAGCTATTGAAAGAAAAGAGGAAGACATTCGCTATCATGAAAGTAAGAACAATCTCCTTAATGATCCGGAGACACGACGGGACTCCTTAAAGTATGACACTAAGGAGTTGCTTCTCTCGAATCCACAACCACAAAAATCGACGCGAGAAGGAAATCGAAGCGGCAGTGGAGAGTGACAGAGGGCGTAATGACATACACAAGAGCTCATAGACGTCATTCTTTATGCGCCCCAGCGTTTCAAACACCCGCTCCTCCTCCCCATCCTCCATGTGTGGTGGTCGGGGTGGTTCTCTCGGCCGCCAAGCTGTCGCAGGTGCGTCCTGTGCCGCCTCCTCACTAGCTCACTCTGCTTGAAGGAGGGAAATGGTGCCGAATGCTGGCTGCCTCTCTGTGACGATCAGGTGCTTCGCTCACTCGTCGGTCTGGTCTTGCGGCCTCGGTAACGTGACCTTCTTCCCTTAACCTCAGTTTCCTTCACACTCCGCGTAGAGACACGCAAATGGAATCCATTTGGATGCCACGGGGAAGTTGAAGGAAGGGCCCGCGAGATATAAAATGTAGTCAGCGATGATCGACCTGAACACACCCACACAGAGAACAGCAACACACACACGTGCATATGTGTGGTGCCTTGTCTCGCCTACGTATCGCCGCCAGGCTTGTCCGGATGGACCACCAACGCTGCACAGAGAGAGAAGAGGAGGCAACGTAACGTACTGTATTCTGCACTGGGAACATGGACAGCATCCACCTCTCCACCTCTCTACACGCGATAAGCGACCTGAATACATAGACAGAGCGGCAGCAGCTCGTGGGGAAACTGCCGTCTGCTGCGGTCAGTTTCGCCATGGTGTCTAACCGTTCGATGTGCGCCTGCTGTCGGCAACCGGCAGCCACTCCCGCATGTCCCTCATGACCTTGATCTCCTCATGCAGGTAGCTGTCGAGGGGGCCCGTCTCGATCACAACGAGCGGCCCTTTGGCGTCCAGGACGCCCCATCCTTCCCCGTGGAGTACGTGGTCGATGTTGGCTAGTCGCAGTTCCTCCCGCCGTAACTGATGCCGTAAGTGCACAGCGTATATATATGTGCGATGTCTTGCCCAGCTCACGTGTCACCTCCTGGCTTGTCAGAGTGCATCATGAGTGCTGCACACACAGAGAGAACCAAGGGAAGGCAACGCAAGTAGAGTTCTGCACTGGCCATACGGCTCAGCTGGCATCTCTCTGCACGTGCATGGCCTCGCCTTTCCCCCTTCCATCCCTTACCCTTTCCTCAGTATGCCTTTTGTATGGTGCTCAGATCGGCATCTCTCTCCACGCCGAGGACATCGAAAAAGCGCTGTTCGTCGCCCTCTTCAATCTGCTAATACTGGAACTGGACGTTCTTGCAAAGCGGACGGGAAAGGAGACACACTCGCTAACGGATATAAAATGTAGACAGCGATAATCGACCTGGACACACGCATGGGCCGACCAGCCATATGGTCACTTGCAGCCGGCGAATCGTCGTCGCTGAGGGGGTCATACGAGTTGTTTGTCTGCAGGTCGATATGTGGTGTCAGGTTGGCCTGGGGGAGGGCTGCGGGTGACGGGTCGCCAGCGTCACTGCGGGGCGCATACGAGTGCGGGGTGTGCAGATCCACGCTCAGTCGCTCGTCGCCCTCCGCCGCCCGACGGCTTGGTGGGTCATGCAGGATGGCGCGGCTGTCGGCCTCCTGCACAGCGAACTCGACCTCCTGAGTCAAATTACAGAACATACAGCACACAACACACACGACCATCAGACAACCACCCACTTTCTGCCCATCCATATATCGATGTGTCACACCCACCCGCCTACCTCGACAGTACATTCAGTGCGATTCTCTGGCCCCTCCACAGCGGTGTCTGCTCGACCTGAGCCCTCTGGTCCCCCACAGCGGCTTCGCTAGACAGCGGCTCGGGGCAGCGCGCCGGCGTCTCGGCTTCGCCCTCCTGCTTCGCCGACAGGGGGTTGGGGGGACGGTCCACGGCGGGGGGAAGACGCCTCTCTCCAATCTGTCCGAGTGCAGCCTGCAAGGCCTCCACCTGGGCCAGGAGGGGACGGACGTACGCCCCCAGCAGCTCTGAAGGGCTCGGTCGCATGCTCGGCATCTGCGAGAGGGTGGCGGTGGCGAGCCGCTGAATACCCTCAGTGATGGACGCAGCGATGGGCGTCGCCGTGGGTGTGTCGTGGGTGAAATGGTGCAGCAGAGTTGTGGTGGACGCCCGACCGAGAGGGCCTGCAGTGCGGGGGAAGTGCATCGACTCTCCTGACAACGAACACATAGGCAAAGAAGAGGGTGGATGAAGGGAGGGCGGCCATGTACGTGTTTGCTCACTCACCCTCTGGTAGGCGGATACTGCAGCCCTTGGCAGCCCTATGCACACGGCCCAGCAGTCGGCACACGGCGTCGTCCCGTCGCTCCCTCGCCGTCATGTTGCTCGCCTCATGGATGGCCGACACCCATCGGTCGACGCGCCACCCGCTCAGCGCGCCGCAGACCGTGTGGGCCAGGGTCACAGCGACGACGCAGGGCCTGATGATGAGGTGGTTGTGGCCCTGGGCGTCCGTGACGACTGTCTTGTCCTCGATCAGGCGGCTGATGAGGGCCATTGCTGCATCCAGCAGCGTTTCGTCCTCCACGTCCGCGTCATCTGCTGCTGCACACTTGTCCATCTCTCCGTCGGCCGTGACCATGGCGATGGCCAACTTGCTGGCGGCCGTCGTCAGCACCGTGGGAGCTGCTCTCCCTCTTCGGCACCCTCGCCCGCGCGGGTCGGCAGCTGGATGCGGTAGCTGCCCGGCAGCCAGGGCGCCGCTTCCTTCCGCGTGGCTGCTGCGGCCAGGTCGGTGACCCTGACGAGGTGCTGCACGTCAGCTGGGGCGTCCTCTGCGGCCGTCGGCTCCCTCACATACACACTGGTGAGCGGGTCAGCGAGGAGGATTCCCTTCTCGTCAAACGTGACGACGGTCTCCAGCACGTCTGCAGCGGCCCTGAGTGTCGTCATGAGATCGGCCGGGGTGGCGACGGTGGGGGGTGGGAGGGGTTTGGTTGGGGTGAGGGTGAGGGAGGTCGTTGACGGCTGGAAGGCAAGGAGGGCGCTGACCAGTGACAGGAGCGGAACGGAACCAACTGAACAAGCGGGAAACAACCAGAATGTTCACTCAGCCGTCCACTCTTTCTGCCTTTCCTTGCCCACCTTCTGCAGCCTTGGTCACCAGTAGGGACCATGACGGTCTCCTTCTGCTCGCCGTTGTGCCGCGCCAGTCTGCACTCGTCGAACACTCCCTCTCTCTCATCAGCAACAGCAACAAAGCTACTCAGCAGAGCGTCGCTCTGCACGTGGCGGTACAGCTGCCACTCTCTGCGCAGCCGCTGGGAGATGGATGGGGAGCTGCCGACTTTCACCCGCAGTGACACGCTCATTGTGGCTCCTCCTCCACCCAGAATGTCGTCGTCGGTGCCGCTTATCACTTTGGCACCTCTGAAAACTCCATCAACGTCGTCGGAGGCCGAGTCCTGCTGCTGCAGGAGCAACCTCTTCCCTAAGAGGGTCCTCGACTGCGGTGGTCATGGCGCCGTGGTCGGCTGAAAACGAAGACAGCCGTCGCTGCGCGCGGACAGATGACAACGGGGCTACCAGGGCTGTCCTGAGGCGTCGCATGGCAACGGTGTTGTGCCTGCAGAGAGCAATGAAAGGAAGCCATCGGAAGAGAGGAGGGCGTGAGTCACTGTGGGTGTATCTCAAAAAGAATACCAGAAGTGGACGGTGATGCGCAAGATGGCGCGGCGTCGCTGGGCATCGTTGTTAGCAATAGCCTCACGAACACCGGACAGACCAGGAGGAACATGAGATTTCTTGATTGAGTAAGCAAACGAAACCGGTCTCTGCCTTTTCGTTGCTTACCGCCTTGCATTGAGAAATCTGCTCCTCCATTCGTCCCATTTGTCGGCCAGCATCCGCCTCGCCACAAGCCCCTCGATGCGTCTCTGCCTCGCCCTCTCGGCCCGTCTATCCCTCACGACACCACTCCAAACCCTCAGGCACGTCGTCAGCTGCCCCTGTCGGCGCCTGTCGCGACACTGCTGGGTCACGAAAGCCGTCAGACGGCGCTTTTCGTCCCATGACGCGGTGTCTTGCAAAGCGGACGGGAAAGGAGAGACACTCGCTGACGGATATAAAATGTAGACAGCGATGATCAACCTGGACACACGCACGCAGGACAGGACAATAGCACGAGGCGTATCCAGAAGGTATCCCTGTATCGACTGACCGTCGCCGCCGTCGTGACTTTTTCGCGTGCGGGGACGCTCAAACGGACCAACACCAACCTGCACAACAACACACGTGCACGCTGGTGAGGTTATCAGACACATGTCTGCGTCGACTGACCTACTCGTCTCTCTGCGCGCTGCCTTCGGCGGTCGACGCCTCCGCTCCTTGCCCCTCCTCATTGCTGTACAGGCGCTTGCCAGCAAAGTGGCCCTCCTCAACAAACTTCACACAACACACAGCATCCACACATGTACCTATCCGAGTATCCACTCTCCCACATACCTCATTCACAGTCTTTTGTCCCTTCTTGGCCCGCCAGATGCCCGTGAAGGGGTGTTGGCGTCGACCCGGCCTTCCAGGAGGTACGTCAGCTCTTCGTCACCGCTCAAGCGGAAACGGGCTAGCATCCGCCGCTCAACGTACACAGCCTGCATGACATGCACATCACATTCACACAGATGACACCGGCATACGTATGAGGAGCACCTACGTGTGGGTCGTCATCGTCATCGTCATTGTCATTGTCATCGTCATTGTCATCCCCGTTCACCTCCTCCTGGACCTCCTCTTGGCGCAGCCGGACGGCGTTCTCGTAGGCGTTTGAAAGCGCCTTGAAATCCTCGCTGATCAGGGACACATACGCACCCAGCAGTAAGCACCCATTCCGTGTGTGACACTGTGTGGTGTGTTGCCCAGCTTACGTGCTGCCCCCGGGCTTGTCGGGATGAACGTGCAGCGCTGCAGGCACAGAAAGACCACACAAGTCATTTGCACTGGCCACATGGCGCAGCAGTTATCCCTTCTACCTCCCTTACCCTCCAGCTTACCCTTCTGTTGATATGCCTTTGCTATGGCGCTGAGGCTCGCCCATCTATCCACCCCGAGCACCTCGAACCAGTGCTCCTCCTCTCGACGATGATGAGATACAGTGCTCCTTCTCTTTGTCGTCGTCACCGTCGTCATCGACTATTCGGCGCTCGAGAAAGTCAAGCTGGATGACAAACACAAGACACCCACACAAATGACCCCCACATATTTATTTTGGAATAAGTGTTCGTGTGTGTGCGTGTGTGACATACAGTGATCTTCCTTTTCCTCGTTGTCGCATGCGTCCTGTGCGCCCTGGATTTCCTGGTGCGGTAACTGAAATGCACTTGGAAATGCACTTGTTGCCGTAATGCACTTATCGCCGTTCTGCAAGAAACAAACACATACATGGTAAGAGAAGCAACGTGTGTTGACCCTCAGTATTTCGAATGCATGAATGGGCCACAAGTCGGTGAGACATGTGTGGTTTGATATTGTGCTCACCGCTGTATCTGGAGCGGTCACTTGTGCAGGTTTGCGGCCTCCTGGTGGTCCGTATATGCTCTGGCGGCGATGGACTCCAGAGGGCGTGTCCACCACACAACACCTGAGCTCACAAACGGACAAGCAGACTTGGAACGATGCATCAGAGCTCTCCGATGCTCTCTTCGTACGTGGAAGTTCTCGCCACGCCCTCCACCTGACAGTCGGGCTCGCCGCACAGTGAGAGCGAGGGGCACTCACCTTCGCCACGAGGGTCACGGTCTGGACAGAGCTGCATCTGATACATGCAAACGAATAGAGATCGTCGATGTGAGTTCTTATCCGCATACAATATCTGTGGATGCACCCACACGTGTGCATGTGTGTGTGTGCATCTGTGTGCGTGCATGGTTCCGTACAGGCTTTTCCTCGTCATTCTTCTCCTCCTAGGGTATCTTCATCCACGGGAGTGATGCTGACGGTCCTGGGCCCGTTTCCAGCTGAGACATTGGAGTGCTGACTTGAGACGCTGCTTGCGTACGAACAGGTGGAGGACATCTGACCGACAAATGAAGACGCACATGCAGTGGCGCCACTCGTTCCCTCCCTCCGTCTGCATCTCACCGGTGCGCCTGCGCCTCTCCTTGGCCATGATGGCTTCCCACCGCCACTCACGCGACACACGCCGCATGAAGAACTCCCTCAGAGCAGCTGCATAGCCGTCTGAGGGTGCGATGCGGGCGCGTTGCTTGTGTGTGTGTGGTCCATGAGCGGAAGGCACGGCACAGTAGGCGTTTATTGGCACGCTGGCCGACGACAGGCAGGGAAACCCAATACGGTATGGTACATATTGGCACAGCGTCTGTGCGTACCTGCAGCAGGCGGACGTACTTCGCCTGTTGGACCCACGTCGTCATTGCGCATCTCAATCTCGCCCGCCGTAACGCCCCAGTCAACCGCTTGGCGGCGCGACGCCACGCCCGCATGGTGCGAGCCGCACCGACCCAACGGGCAAAGAAAGTCTGCAGGTGCCGCGTATCAGTCCGTTGCCGTATTTGTCGTTCTCGCCCTGGAAGACGTCACAGAGGCCTGATGCCTCGCTCCGCTTGTCCTCCTCACCATCCCTCGAGAAGCAGGACAGCATCCACTAGGGCGTTCTCGTATGAATTGCGGTGCCTTGAATGCCTCTTTGGCCACGAATCACTCACACGCACCAACGGCGAGAAGAAATGCATGGTTCGCCGTGTGCTGTCTTACCCAGCTTGCGTATCTCCTATTGGCTTATCCGATCGACGTCCGTCACACCCACACAGAACCCCAGCTCATTCAGGTGTGTGTGGTTGTGTGTGGTTGTGTGGGTGTATGTTGCGTACCTGCTCCTCTTAGCGGATCCGCACCGCCTTTCCCTGAGCACACGCACGCAACAACACTAGTTGCACAGCTCGTAAAGCTTTGGTGTCTTGCCCAGCTAACCTGTCGCCTCCGGGCTTGTCAGGGTGGACCAGCAGCGCTGCACAGAAGGTAACCAAACACTTGACGTGCACTGAGTCACTGGCCACATGTTTCTCGAGCACGACATCTCTCTGCCCCTCTCCCATGCCCTTACCCTTCGCTCGATACGCCCTGCCTATGCCAATTGAAAGAGCGAACGGCTGCTTTCTGATGATGAGGCGTCGATTTATGTCGTCGTTCTTCGCAGCCTGGCCTTGCAACCACAGAGAAAGCACAGAAAGCGACAAATGCATTGTCGGACTCTGCAAGTGCCCGGCCTGCTTTTCCTCCTCCATCCCATCTCTTACCCCTTCTGTCGCTACACCTGGGGCAGTAAAAGACTTCGAACTGTACTGTTCTTTCTGGCTGGCGCCCGAGCTGTCACTCAACCCTCGGACGTGCTACACCTTCTTCATATCATGCGCGCCTGCCTCTGTATGAGCCTCCATCGATGCTGATGCACACAGAATACCCTGTACACAAACCGTCTTACCTTGTTCTTCGCTGTTCTCTTAAACTCCATCAGCCAGTCGCCAAAAAAGGTGGGCGGGAACGATTCGAGTTCATCCAGGAGGGGCAGAGGGTGGTTGGGGGGATTATGTGGAAGACTCGGGCTTCTTGATATGGAATTCCAGGGGGGGGAAACTGTCATTAACCGTAACACTCGTCTGTGTGTCCGTGATACTCATACAAATACAGTCCCATCAGCACGCAGACTCAAACAGGCTCAAGGGGAGGAGGGATCAATCCCCGCTCCATCAAGACACCCCAGTCCTGCAAACCCTCCCCTCCCTCCCCCACGCAGACAGACGCTAGTCGCACGCGCGAGGGCGATAGACAAGCGAGAGCGAATCCATCCAGACACATGACTGAACCCCCGATATGGAATATATGGAATTCCAGTCGTTGGACAGTCGATTTTGCCGTCGATTCTGCTCTTCGATTCTCTCTCTGTCAGTCTGCTCGTCGATTCACGATGCTGAGCGGCTTTTCTCCTTTCTTTGTCCCGTCTCCGTAAATCTCGCCAGCCTTTTTCTTTTGTTTAACGCGCCCTAACCCCCTCGCGATTTTTCTTTCGGCAGCGCGGCCGGCTGCTGACGCATGGACACACCGATGGATGGATGGATGGATGGATGGATGGATGGATGGATGGATGGATGGATGGATGGATGCCATTGGATGGACGAGGCAGCTCGGGAGTGGGGGGACTTTGCGCTGTACGTATCGACTGGTTTTGTGGTCGTACCACGATAGCACGTGGCGTTTCCTTGTGCTGCATCGAAGTGGAAGGGGTTCGTACTGTGCTGACGACCGTTGCTGGCCGAACGCATACGCAGCTCCGGCGCCATATGTATGGCAAAACCATCGAGTAGCGCTGTGTGAACACGTGTATGTTTTCGTCAACATGACGTCCATGCATATGTACAGAGGCGCGAGAGCCGTCCGCCAACCAGTCAGTCGGTCACTCACTCACACAGACACACAGGAATGCGCGCGTCAATGCGAGCATTAACTCATCAACAAACCGCAAAAATCGACTCAAAAATCACTACTCATATGTATGTGGCCGGCCGGTCAGCCATCTCAGATGTCGCTTTCGCTGTCCTCCTGCCACACGCGGTCGCCGAACTGGGGGCCCAGTGTGCGCAGCACTGCCGTCCGCGTGTGTGTGAGGCTGCCCGTCTCGGTCGTGAAGACGGCCACCTCGCTGTACCCGCCCGTATAGCTGACCAGCAGGATCACCATGATGCCCTCCCCTCCCTTGAGCACCAGATAGCGGCGCCGCGTCAGCCCTCCCCCCTGTGCCGTGTCAAACACATGCTCCACGCCCATCCCATTGGTGTCATCCGTCAGGTTGGCGGCCCGGCCCATCACCAGTTCGTGCGCTCGGCGAGCGGCGGACGAGACCGGGTGCTTGGTCGACAACCACGTCCGGATGCGGTTCAGCCCCGTGTGTCTGCTGACGGCCCACATGATCAGCTGTTGGGCCATCAGGCAGGTGTACGTCCGATACACATCGTCGCAGCTGAATGGGCTGCGCGGCGGCTGCAGCAGGGTGGCGGGGTTTGCAGTGTCGAACGCCTCAGTGCCGAAGAGGGCCGTGGCGCTCTCCAGCACCACCGGCAGGTATCGGTAGAAGATATTCGTCCACGAAACAATCATGCCGAACTGGTTCACCAGGGGGAAGGGCTGGCCCGTTTGCTGTCTGATGATGGTCCGCTCCGTGCTAAGCAGCACCCACTGCCGCTGAGCCTCGGGCATCGCCACATACGCCGCCTCGTCAGTGATGGCGGCGAAGGTGGCGTCGCCGAGGATGATGGCCGCGCTGCCGTTGAGCAGGTACAGCAGCCACACGTGCGGCTTCCACTTGCCCCAGTTGCCGCCGGCATTCTCCAGCACGAAGAGCCGCTTCGTCAGCCGCTTCATCTGCATGATAAGGGCAGCAGCGGTCAGTGTGGCCGTCGCCCCCTGTGTCAGCTCCGGGAGCGGGATCTGCAGCATCGCCCCAAAACCCATAGAGGCCGTCAACACCATCAGCATCTTCACCAACGCCGTCACGAGGTGGGCAAGGGGAAGGGCCTCGAAGCGGTTGCTCTTGTCGGCGCCGCTCAGGGCCAGCAGCGACGCCGAGGTGGGCACGAAGTCGCCCACCTTCTGCACGAGCTCCGGCGGCAGCTGCTTGAAGTCGACGCCCTCAGCCGCGCTGCTCTTGGGTGTGTTGGGGACGGCAGGGCCTCGGGCGAAGCGGCCTGTGGTGGCGTCATGCCAGCGGCCGTGCTTGTCCTGGAACACCTTCTGGCCCTTGGCGTTGACCTTAATGTCCTTTATGCTCCGACGTGGAGGCACTGCAAACACCCCAAACACACACGCAGAAATGACGTATCGGATGAGAATGCATCAGTTTGTGCGATGCATCAAAGGCACAGAGCGATGCATCAAAGCGATGCATCCAACAAAGGCGATGCATTCATCTACTTGCGCTCTCCTTACATACCGTCAGCAGAATGGATGAGTGTTCGGCACCTCAGACCCTCGCGCAGGTGCAATCACTCGACTCTCGTCAATGCTCGACGCTCTGATGGCGTCAATGGGCTGCTGTGATGCGTTCTTTTTCACTGCAGCTCCCTCCAACGCTTTCGTTTTGCGCACACCTGTGGCTCTACCGCAACTTGTGCGAGCGCAGATCTCTCTCCCTTTCGCCGACAGAAGGACAAGGTCCTGTAGCCAGTCCCCTCCCTCCTTCCAGCACGCCCTCTTCCTCCACCCATCCCTCCCCAGAGACAAGACACACAAACACAGAGGTCTCCCTCCCACATAGCTCGGCCAACCCCGGTCAGCACAAGACAGCAGCACCCGATACAGACAGGGAGAAGGCCGGACGGCAGATGTCAGCGTCACAGCCCTCAGATCCGCCCGTCTCGGCCCACCCGGACCACATGCACGACAACACCAGGAGGCGGCGCGTGAAGGCGCTGCCTTCGCTGGCCTGGCTGCCTGTGGCCGCGGCCGTCCTGTGTGCGACCACACATGCGATGACACGGCAGCAGCAGAGGTCAGCAGCGGCCTTTGTGCCGATGGCAGCGAGGCCGTTGCTGAGCAGCACCAGGCAGACGCGGCGTCATCAGCTGCCTGCGAGAAGCACTCAGCTCGCGAGTAGCAAGGGTGGTCTGAGCATGATGTTCGAGAGCTTTACCGAGAAGGCCATCAAGGTCATCATGGCAGCACAGGAAGAAAGCAGGTAGGTTACCTACCGTAGCACGTGACAGACGACACATGACGCCTGTCGCATGTCGCATGTGATCTCGCTCACTCTCTCTCTCTCTCTCTCTCTGCGCGTGTGTGCGTGTCTTGGTTGGCAGGTTTGTGGGTCACAACTATGTGGGTGCGGAGCAGCTGCTGCTGGGCCTGCTGTCCGTGACGGACACCGTGGCCTTCGAGATCCTCAAGCGCAAGAACATCAAGCTGCAGGTCGTCAGGGGCGAGATCGAGAAACTCATTGGACGCGGCAACGGTCAGCCAGCGACTTTGGTGCATGCCTCGAGACACACAGACCTGTATGTGCCGGTGTGTTGGTCGATTTCTGTGTGTGTGCAGGGTTTGTGTCTGTGGAGATCCCCTTCACCCCCCAGGCCAAGGGCGTGCTGGAGCGGTCTCTCAATGAAGCCCGGAACCTGGAAGTGGGCACAAACCTCTCTTCCTCCCCCTACACACACGCACACACAGATCGACATGTGGTCCATGCCATGTGGTGTGTGTCGCTGTCGTGTGTGCAGGTGCGTTACATCGACACGGAGCACCTGCTGCTGGCGCTGCTCAAGGAGAACTCGGGCGTGGTGCACCAGATATTCAGGAAGATGCAGATCGACCCACAGCAGTAAGGAACCTTTCGTGACAAAGAGAAATCCACACATGGACTGGACAAACAGACCAACACACCACACGCGTCCACTTGACACACACAGGTTGTCCGTTGAGGTGACCAAGACCGTCATGGACAGCAAGTCAGCCGGCGCTGCGCAATACGGCAAACAGGGTGGCGGCCAGCAAACAGGTACTTACTAAGGGATACCCACCC